GTCTCGTCCAAAAACCCCCAAAATTCAAACCAATCTTGGAGGATAAAACCCTAACGGTTTTATTCAAGAAGAACCTGTCACAAGCTTCAACCCGAACTAGATTACCCAATCTAAGCTTCGAACCTTATCACCTTTAATCATTCACAATGCACTTCAAAAATGGTTGTGTGTAATTGATGTGTTGTGAGAATGTTTGAAGATGAAGATGAAGAATCTTGGACACCTATTTCACTCTTTCTTATTCTTGAACACATGAATCAATTTTATCAAATGTTGTTGTGTTAAAATGAACAAACTTCTATTTATAGTAATAAGCAAATCAGCCAACAAAACAAATTTTCAAACAGATTGGAAATACTGCACTAACTATGTCAACGCGCGAACGGTCGACCATAGGTCGGCGTGCGCTGACCCGTGTGAAATGCCAAGGCTCCATGTGCTGACTTATGGTCGACTCATGGTTGTTGTGTGCTGACTGTATGGTCGACTCATGGTTGTTGTGTGCTTACTGTATGGTCGACTCATGGTTGCTGTGTGCTGACTGTATGGTCGACTCATGGTTGTTGTGTGCTGACCAGTGGGAAATGAACTGATCCATGCGCTGACTGTATGGTCGACTCATGGTTGCTGTGTGCTGACCAGTGGGAAATGACTTGATCCATGAGCTGACTGTATGGTCGACTCATAGCTCCAAAAATATGCAAAAATTGACATGTTTGCTGTTTTGTGCATCTTGTCACGACTATACATCAATCAATTATATTGTAATGAAATATGATGATTTAAAAGGATATAGGAAGGATGTAATATGTTAAGTATTGCATGACGACTCCGATTCATCCGAGGTTGTACTTTGTCATCATCGAAACTTGATAACCTATGTTGTGAGACAGTTTGCCCTCACATACTCCCCCTTTTTGATGATGACAACCTGTGCGAAGCTTAGTGAGAACAACATGCAATATCGTTAACATGGTAGTATAAATTCCCCCTTTTTTTTTGCACTCAAAGCTGTTGTAATCTTTTGCATTCAGAGCTGTTGTGATCTACTATCTACTTGTCTTTTCTCCCCCTTTGACAACATCAAAAAGAGATGGAGAAGGTAAAGTTCTGACAGATTAACAATTAACAAAATACTCAACAGGCTATAAGTGATCATATACCAATATCCACACAAAATATTGACAATGAGAAAAAATATTGAAAATAGATTAAACAAGATTGAGGACACATAAAGTCATAACATTTCATAGGAATCAAGGTTGTAAAACAAACATTAGTGTGCACTTAGGAGTGATAAAACAGAACACGATAACAAACACAACATGGAGAATGAGAAAATGCACAAACAAATGACTAATAGCCTCGTCCCCTGCCCATATCAATGAAGACGAATTATGATATGGATCAGCCATATCAGTGAGGTAATCCACTGCTTGATTCAGGCGATTGATGCTGCGAGAGACGGCTTTTTTCTTGGTATCCATGGGCAGTTGTGAAAGCTGCAAATCTTTCATCCATTCTTGTTAAAAAAAAGAGAACTGTTCAGATTGGGTGTGTAGCTCAGTTCGGATGCACAAATGCAGATTTGCACTTAATGTCACATATAATGCCATATTTGATACCTACCTAAAATGCCACAAAACAATTTGCATCCAAACACATAAAACACATAGCAAATATCATATATATATATATATATATATATATATATATATATATATAATATATATATATATATATATATATATATATATATATATATATATATATATATATATATATATATATATATATATATATATATATATATATATATATATATATATATATATATATATATATATATATATATATATATATATATATACACACACACACACACTATTTATCATACGATACTATTATTGAATCATGAGAATTTTAAGGAGAGAGAGAGAAGGGAACAATATCACCTCTACACCAGAATAGCTTGATAACAATACACTTGTGCTTGCAACAAAACTTAACTTGTTAGAAGTACAGGCATGTAATTATAAGTGAAGTAAGGCGAAATAAGCAATTATGACCCGCGATCCGAAATGTCGAGAATGCCAAGTTCTCGGCAGATATGAAAGAAAGGCTCAGTGGCTAGCGGCTTTGTGAAAATGTCCGCTAGTTGATTTTTGGTGTCAATGTGTTCAAAGACAACGTCACCTTTCTCTACACGATCCCTCAAAAAATGGTGTCGAATTTCGATATGTTTGGTACGAGAATGTAGCACGGGATTTTTGGTAAGGTTTATAGCACTAGTATTGTCACAAAATATTGGAACACGTTCTAGTTTTAAATTGAAGTCCAATAGTTGCTGCTTAAGCCATAGGACTTGTGCACAACAACTACCGGCATCTACGTATTCCGCTTCGGCGGTTGACAGAGCAACAGACACCTGTTTCTTGCTGTGCCAACTGACCAAGGAATTTGAAAATAAGTGACACGTACCGCTGGTGCTTTTCCTATCCGATTTGCAACCGGCAAAATCAGAATCGGAGAAACCTACCAATGAAAAATCATTACCTTTGGAATACCACAGTCCATACTTCGGAGTACCAGATAGGTATTGAAGTATACGTTTGACAGACTTTAGGTGGGATTCCTTAGGACATTATTGGTATCTTGCGCACATACACACGCTAAACATAATGTCCGGGACGAGAAGAAGTAAGATAGAGAAGAGATCCAATCATACCTCTATACCTTTTTACCTCAACGTCCTTACCACTTTCATCTTTACTCATATTTACACATGTTGGCATAGGAGTGTCTATGGCTTTTGAATTTGCCATGTCAAATCTCTTGAGAAGCTCCAAACAGTATTTTGTTTGGCTCACGAATGTTCCTTCTTTCAGTTGCTTGATTTGCAAAACGAGAAAGTATGTGAGTTCACCCATCATACTCATCTCGAATTCTCCCTGCATAAGCTTAGAAAACTCTCTCACGAGACTCATGTTAGTGGATCCAAATATGATATCGTCAACATAAATCTGTACAAGAATTAAGTGCTTTCCTTGACGTTTAATGAAGAGATTAGTGTCAACCTTTCCTCTTGAGTAACCTTGATCAAGTAAGAATTTACTTAGTCTCTCATACCAAGCTCTAGGAGCTTGTTTGAGACCGTATAAAGCTCTTTTCAGTTTGTAGACATGATCAAGATACTCATGAGACTCAAAACCAGGAGGTTGAGCAACATAGACTTCTTCATTTATGTACCCGTTAAGGAACACACTCTTAACATCCATTTGAAATAACTTAAAATCCTTCGCACAAGCGAAAGCAAGAAAAAGGCGTATAGCCTCGAGTCGGGCAACCGACGCATAAGTTTCCTCATAGTCGATGCCTTCCTCTTGGTTATACCCCTTGTGCAACTAACCGCGCCTTGTTG